CTCTCTCTCTCTCTCTCTCTCTCTCTCTCTCTCTCTCTCTCTCTCTCTCTCTCTCTCTCTCTCTCTCTCTCTCTCTCTCTCTGTGTGTACCAGGTACTGACCTGCAAAAGGTGGTGCCATGATGCAGGTACGGACGTGCTGATGACGAAGCTGGAGCGATGGTGTCACAGGTAAGTCTCAGGTAAGTCCCCTGGCCTCCCCCACAGTCTCTCTTCTCTCCCTGCGCTACTCTAAGTCCTATCAGCGCCCAGCGCTGGAAGAGTACTACTACACTGCTGTCATCCGAAGAGAGCCTCTACTCCATCCTCTACTCAATGCCAAACTGAGGCTGGGCCCAGCTATATATAGTGCTGGGTCGGCCTCAGCGGCTGAGTCTGGCGCTCAAACTGAGGCTGGACCTCGAAAGTTTGGCGCCCAAACTGAGGCTGAGGCTCAAGCGCCTACTAAAACAGTGCGGCCTCTGAATAGGGTCTGGCGCCCAAACGCGCGCCAGGGCCTGTAGCCGAAACGAGGCCTACAGAGCCTCTAACTGGTACCAGTCCTACTCAGGCCTAAACTGGCCTATTGACCCTACGGGCCCCTACAGTGGGTCGAAAAGACACAAACCCTACACTCTACGGATCCCTAGCCTACCTGGTCGGGCCCTGCTGGGCCCGTGTGGAACTGAGTATGCCACTTCGCAGCACAATAAAATATACAATTTGCAATTGATTTCTCAATCAATGGACTAATCAATCAATCAACCAACCAATCAATCAGTCAATCAATCAATCAATCAATCAATCAATCAAGCGATCAATCAATTAATTCGAGATCAGGATGACGACTTGATGAGCAGATCCTTCTCTTGAGGTCTGCTCCAATACCAAACTGTCGCATGCCTGATCGGCAACGATCAGAACCGAGGTCCGACCTCTCAGAGACAATACAAATATAGCACAGCGGAAGACTGTAATACCAAGATCTGGACAATGACAGGACCTGACATCATACATCACCACTCAGAAGAGGGAGAGGAGATGGAGGGGAAGAGGTAGATAGGGAAGATCAGCCACCATAGCCCGATGGACCCAGTCTCCAATGTATCCTCAGTGTCGCTGCTCACATGATGTCAAGTCGCAATGTCACTGAACAGGGCAGTGCCCGATTGTCACCGAGTCTCAATGTCAACTCTCTCTCTCTCTCTCTCTCTCTCTCTCTCTCTCTCTCTCTCTCTCTCTCTCTCTCTCTCTCTCTCTCTCTCTCTCTCTCTCTCTCTCTCTCTCTCTCTCTCTCTCTCTCTCTCTCTCTCTCTCTCTCTCTCTCTCAGCAGCAGGAGAAGAAGAAGAAGCCACGGAGGGAAAGAGGAAGGGCGATGGAGATCAGATAGAGGGAAAGAAGAAGAAGAATTAATCCTCTCTCTCACACACACACTGCATGTATGCCAGGTACTAACCTGCAGAAAGGTGCCACCTTGATGCAGGTGCCGACGTCCTGAAGACGAGGCTGGAGCTTTGGCATCACAGGTAAGTCACAGGTAAGTCCTCCCGGCCTCTGCCCATCTCTCTCTCTCTCTCTCTCTCTCTCTCTCTCTCTCTCTCTCTCTCTCTCTCTCTCTCTCTCTCTCTCTCTCTCTCTGTAGTGCAGTGGCAGCACTCCAACTCATAGCTTGCGCCCAGCGCTGTAGACTACTCTAACTGCGTCCAGTGTGTCGACTACTGAAGACTACTCACTACTACCTCAGAGCTACCTCTGAGAAGCACCTAGCACTACCTCAGTGAGCTGCCTGAAGAACTAGCCTAGTATGAGGTTGGCCCAGCTATGTATAACGTTGGGCATGGTGTCCTAGACCGAAAGGAAACAGTGTGGCCGAAAGGAAAACTCGTCTTTCGCCAAGAGTGGGAATCTGTTCTTGTGCCAAATGGAACCTAGTGAAAATCCGAAAAGGTCTGGCGGCCAAAACGAAAATACGAAACGGATTGGCGCCCAAAACCAGGAGTGTGGCAAAAGATGGCAAAAGTAGGAACCTGGCGAAAAGATGCCAAAACGAGTCAGTGGCCTACTGGGTCCTACACGGCCTAAATGACATAGGCCCTAAACCCTACGAAACCCCTAACCCTACTGTCGGGCCCTGTGGGCCCCATGTGGAACTGAGTATGCCACAGTAGCTTAGGGCGCACTCAAGTAGCAGTAGTGTAGGCCCGGTAGTACTTGAGTAGCGGTAGGCCGAGCAGAAGACCACAAAAAGTCTGTACCTTTAGGGGCAGAGGTCCGGTAGGTAGAGTCTAGGGCCTGTAGCGGTTGATATCAGGTCTGCAATGATGTTTCTAGGGCCTGTAGCGCTAAATATCAGGTCTGCAATGATGTTTCCCTCCGAAATGGAGGAGGTACCAGTTGCTTGGGAGGCCGAGCGGCCTGGAAGTCACCGCCCAAGGGGCAAGTTGCCCACTATATCTGGAGGCCGAGCATCAAGCTCAGCCTCATTTGCTGTGGTGGGCAAGTTTGGGCGTCACGCTGCTGGAGCGCTTGGTGGAAGAGCGCTGTGTGCAGCACTGGGAGGAGGGGTGCCTGGCCGCCACCTTAGCCATGGTGGCCAGCGCCAAGGAGGAGGAGGAGGAAGAAGGGGACTAGGAGGAGAGTGGCCAGGGGTTCTTAGCTGGCTACGGTGGATGCCATCTTCATCTCCTTGGTAGGCGCTGCATCTGGAAGGCCCCACGTGTGGTAGCGCTGCACAAGAAGGTTTCAGGACAGAGTCTGGCATGGCAGCCTGAGGTGTGGAGGACATAGCTGCTTTTGCGGTGTCTTTTGAACGTCGGGGCAAGGCCCCTAAAGTCCGCTATAGCCATCACCTGTCCGAGGCGGATGGAGTTGGAGGTTATGGCTATGGTGGACCTCATGTTGTGCTGGCAGTAACAGAGGGATTCAGCCATTGGTTCTGGTTCAGCCATTCATTGTTGTTATTATCCCTTACTCTCTTTAAGCGAATAGCGGGTCTCGCGTGACATTCCCATGCGACACCCGCCTTTCAGTGTTGGGAAACAGCGGGGACAAACAGGCGGCCCCAAGGAAATTAAACACACATTGGAAGGTGGGGAAAAGTCGGGACTCCGTTCAAGTGTTTTTTTTTCTCGTCTTTTCTTGGCGTCCCCTGTATGTGTAGATGTTTCCGTAGAAGATTCATCGCGGGAACGTTTTGGAAAGTGTGGCAAACCTGTTACTTACTCAGCCGACCGTGGGCTGTCTGCGGCGTCAAAGAGCCAAAGCAATCCGTGCGTTGTGGGCTGTCTCCGGCGTTGAGTGTCGTGGGCTGTCTGTGGCGTGGAAGAGCCGAAGCGATCCGTGCGTTGTGGGCGACGGACGGGACAGTAGCGTCGGAAAGAGAGAGAGAT